AACTGCAATTAGCAATGAGCCATGTTTACTCTATTTAGGTTTCTGCTCTACAATGGGCAAGTAAATGTTTCCAAAGATAACTCTACAGATAGTTTCACCTTAAGACAGGACATTATCCATTCTGATGTTGCAGCCAACATTTTCTCAGTAGACGACACATCTTATTCAGTAATACATTCCTACTACAATTCTTATTCTATAACTTATCCATCACTTAATGAGAGAAATACATTAAAAGAGAAGAAATATAAAAATCTAAGGCAAAAGTTTCAAACATTAAATCCCTCTACAACTGTAGGCTTTACAACCTCATAAATGATCAAACAATAATCAAAAGTATACATGATGTTAGTAAAGTCACCCTATTTCCTCTAGTTAAAAATTATGAAGGCAGCCAAAGCAACTACATTTACTATGTTCTAAAGAGTTGAGAGTTGCAAGGACAGGCTAACCTTTAAGGTCACAGTAGCTATATTTTGCCATAGCAGGATAGCCTTTAGGATCACAGTAACTATACTTTTGCCATAGCAGGATGGCCTTTTGGGGTCACAGTAATTATAACAGGATAACCTTTAGGGTCCCAGTAACAGGATAGCTATATTTTTTGTCATAGCAATTTCAACCCATACTCCCATCACTTCCATTAGTTTGTGAAACTCTTATCAGGCCATTTCCCAGAAAGCATGCTAAATATTTGGGCCAGATCTCAGAGCAATGGTTAGGCACACAATAAGGTGTCTGGAAACAGCATGGGCTTAATTGTACTCCCATGCGCAGTTAAAGGCCCACTCACCAAGACACTATCAGTAACATTAACTTTTAAGCTCATGTTGGTTGTAAAAGCCATCTCACAGGGGCAAACTATGCCTAATAGATTGCAGAATTCTTAGTGGGGTGGTTGAGTGTCCATGCAAACAGGGGGTGAGACTGCGTCAAGGTGGTCAGAGAGAAATCCGCCGGGCCCTGCCAAACAGCTGTAAGCTCCCCCAGGCCCTGCCAAGCAGGGGAGCTGTTCTCTTCACACCTTCGTGTCATCCATACCTACTGCACAGACCCCAGCACGAGAGGCCACCCCTGATGATGCCTTTTATCTTCACTGTAACTGCAGCCTTGATTTAAAACAGTAAATGTGAGTAACAGGTGATGATGGATGCATGAATCAAGGCCTCAAAGCAACTCAGTGGACTGCCAGTTTAATGAAAGAGCGGTGGGCAGGCCCAGCACAATGGCCTAGCAGCTAAAGTGCTCACCTTGCTTGTGCTGGGGTCACATATGGGCTCCTGTTCTAATCCCATCAGCTCCACTTCCCATCCAGTTCCCTGCTTGTGGCTTGGGAAAGCTGTCGAGGAAGGCCTTGGGACCCTGCACCCGTGTGGGAGACCCAAAGGAAAATCCAGGCTCCTGGCTTCAGATCAGCTCAGCTCCCGCCATTGTGGTCACTTGGGGAGTGAACCATCGGATGGAAAATCTTTCTCTATGTCTTTCCTCCTTTCTGTATATCTGACTTTGCAATAAAAATACAGCTTTTTTTTTCTTTTTTAATTAACATAGTATTGAGTGACCAACACTTTAGAAAATGCAAGTTCTTAACCACATCCTGTAACTACTTCCTTGGTATCTCAATTTTAGTATATACACAACCAGCTGCTATAAACCTTTTCTTTTTCCCCAAGCTAACATGTTTTTGAGTTTAACCTAAATCAGAGTGGCACAGGAACAGTGGAAGGATCAACATTAACATCATATATATAACAGCTGAGTACAAACTTAACATCAGAGTTTCTATGCAGTTACATCTTGTTTAGCATTAACAGTCATAAATTGATAGTTTTTGGGGAGGAAGAAAATTAAGCGATTAAGCATGGTTTTACAGCACTTTGCATTTTAACAATTGAATAATAGTAAAGTTTTAGGTAGGTGAGAAGGGAAATCCCCTACAACCCAGTGAGTGAGGAAGAATTTAACTCTACGTCCTACCTACTAAAGTCCAGGAGACGCAAATAGGGAGCCTGACCAGTAAGTACTGAGCGATTACAGGCTTGCTGGCCCTTTCCCTGGCTGTTCTATGTCTCTCTCTGTCTATCTGAAAAGCCAGATGGGAAGCCTGATCAGCGAGGTCCAAGCTGTGTTATTATCAACTAGCTGACTTTTATTAGCCTATCTGAACTAATTTTGGGGCTCACAAGCAACCCTAATGGTCGGTGTAAGAGAGGCCTGGGAGCCAAGGCTTGAACTAGCTAAGGACCAGAGAAAGCTCTCCTGAGCCCAAAAGGAGATTTACAACCCTTTTATCTCTGAGTGCCACCCAGGGCTCCTGGCTGTAGTTCCAATGTCACCAGACTCTATGAGAGAGTTTGGGGCTGCTACCATCCCGTGTGGGAAATGCAATAGGAAATGAGTGACCTCAGAGCGCTCAGCCTCCGAGGGCATTCACGTTCCCTGTGATCTCCTGGGCAGTCGGGATGCGGTTCTCCGTGTCCATACTGACAATCCTCAACGAAATACCCATTGCTTCTGTGGCGAAAGCACTTGGGAGGCCTGCGGGGGGCTCCGGGACTAGGACACAGACCTCCTCTTAGCCTCCTGTTCCACCCTGAGATCCCCTCCTGCTCTGTACACAGTCTCCTTTTAAGAGGGTGTCAGGGTTGTTCTTGGATCCCGCCACAAACTTCTATGGCTTTTCTAATGTCCAAGGCCGTTTAGAATTTGCTATCTATAAATAATAAGTTACACTTAAAGTCTTCCTCTAACATCCTAAGAAGGTGGAGAATTTCTCTGCACTCCTGACCTGTAGTGGAACAAGAAGAATATTAAACAAATTTAATTTTTCAGTTCTTAGAGGCAGTTCCACTGCGGGTTCCATCTTCTCCAGGGGCAGCGCTGTATTCAAGGGAGTTGCTGCACTTGCGAGGTCAGATGAGCCACAGGGAAACCACAGTTTTGAGGATCCATCAGGGAATTCTAGGGACAAGAGCATAACCTTTCCCCCAGGTTAAAAAAACCGGAATGGTGGGGAAGGGTTTGGCCTTGGAGGGGGAAGTGATGTCGAGAGCCCACCTCCGCTCTGCTTTCTCTGTTTTTGTTTGGGGTGTGTGTGTGTGATGAGGATTGATTTGTTCAAAAGGCAGAAACATAGAGAAGAGAAAGAAATTTTCCATCCAAACACCTACAGCAGCCAGGACAGGGCCAGGCTGAAGCCAGGAGCCACGAACTTCATCTGGCCTCCCACACTGGGTGGCAGGGGTGCCAGTACTGGGCCTCACCTGCTACCTTCAGGTGCAACTGGCAGGCAGTTGGATCCAAAGTGGAGCAGCCCGGCAGCCCAAGTGTGTAATCTGGGTACAAGATCCTGGCGGCAATTCCACCCACTGCACCACCACCCTGGCCCATGTGTTTTTCCGCAGACTACCACCATTCATGATGGAGTGTCTCTAGTTCTGGATGGAGACCTGTGCGAGGCACTGCCCAAACTTACACTCCACTCTGTGCTCTGGCCACAACGAGCCTTTGTGCCTCCTTGTCTCCCATATAGTCCCACATTGGACCCGGCACGGTAGCCTAGCAGCTAAAGTCCTTGCCTTGCACATACTGGGATCCCCTGTGGGTGCCTGTTCGTGTCCCCACAGCCCTGCTTCCCATCCAGCTTCTGACCTGGAAAAGCAGTGGCGGATGGCCCAAAGCCTTGGGACCCTGCACCTGCGTGGGAGACCCAGAAGCAGCTCTTGGCTCCTGGCTTTGGATTGGCTCAGCTCCAGCTGTTGTGGCCACTTGGGGAATTAGTGGACAGAAGCTCTTTCTCTCCTCTCTATATCAGACTTTCCAATGAAAATAAAGAAATATTTTTTTAAAAGAAAAAGAATACACCCCATCTTTGCACTGTAGCCTCCTGGCTCGCAGCGCTCCCTGGGGTGGCCACTCCCAGGGGGGCAGGGTCCCCGGCCAGCCAGCTGCGGGTGACCAGTTTGCCTCCAGGGCTGGTCCCCTGCTCTGCCAGCCTGTTTTTCCCCCCCAAGATACCTTTACCCTCCCCAGTAACCTCTACTTAATTGTTACCTTTTGTAACCACTTGGTGAAAATGCTAATTAGGGAAGAATTGAAGGGCTTCCTGTGCAAACATTTCCAGGGACTTTGGGAGAACTCCAGTTTCTGAACGTCTGGACTTTAGTAGTGGATGGCTTGGGGGAGGCGGAGGGGAGCGTTCAGGCTGTCAAGAAGGGAAAAGCCCAGAATAGGAGGGGGCAGGGCGGGATATGTTTTCTGGAAGGGGAGGCCTTGTTTGGGGACCTTTGAAGCAGCCACACCTGTCTTGGGGCACCAGAAAGTCAGTGGGAGAGAAGTTTGTTTACTTGAGCAGTGCTTACAGTGTCTGTAAGGACATTGGAGACAGTGCACCCACCCTGCTCCGTCACGTACGAGTACAGGCTTGTCATCGATTCCATTTTGTAGCGATACGCGTTCCTGCTAAAGGCGCATCCCTCCGATGGCCTGGAGCATGTCTGACTCCGGAAGGACTTGCTTTCTGTTTGGCCAGAGACAAAGCTCATGTCTCTTAGGGTCAGACTCTGACAGAGCTGAGATTGCAAACCTGCCATCAGGACCATTCTGAGTCCACGCTTTTGCTTTCCTTTTTTTTTTTTTTTTTTTTTTTTTTTAAGATTAATTTATCTTAGAGAGAGACAGCTCTTCCATCTGCCCATTCACTCCCCAAGTGCCTGCCAAGGCCAGGGTTAGACCAGGCCAAAGCCAGGGGCCAGTAACTCCATCTGTCTCCCGCATGGGGTGCCTGGGACCCAAGCCCTTAGGACCGTCTTCTGCTGACTTCCCAGGTGTAGAGCAGAGAGCGGGGCTGGAAGCAGGGCAGCACTCGCATGTGGGATGTGGTATCAAAGCAGTGGCTTAATCCCCTGCTCCACCAGGACAACCCAAAGACAAACTTCTGAATAGGGAAGAATATGGTAACATGAACAAAGGATTCACCCCGTTTTCCTTCCCTAACTTTCCAGAAGGACTGCTGACAACCCCAATTCTGCAGGGCCCCGGGGCCCTATCCCCAGAAGCCGAAGAAGCCAGCACAGCACTCATTGCAGGTAACTCGGGCTCTGAGCCGAAGCTGGGAACCTGGCAGACTGAAACTCCCCTGTGATGAAGACTGTCCCTGTTCTAGAAGGGAGCGCAGCCATTAATGGGCTCACTCCTGCATGTAGGTTATCAGACACACGCAGACACAGGTGCCTGTAGATGCTACACTGGGGTATGTGCTGGGAATGGGGACATGCGTGGTTTTGAGTGTGGAAGAGGTGGATGATGAGAGAAATCTTAACAGGAGTTTGTGGGCTGTTCAAAATGCCTTCCATTTGGGGGAGCTATTGTTCCTCTCCTGCCTGTGTGCTGTCACAGGCACTGGGTCGGGAGGGAGTTGTGTAGGAAATCCAACGCAGCATGATCCTAGCTCAAGCACCGACAGACTCTGGGGCTCACGTCCCATGGAGAGTGGGCTTGGTGAGGCCGCCCATGGGGGGATGGAAATGGCCATGGACTTGTTAAGTGGATCCTTGCTGACTAAACAAGATGATCCTCAAGAAAAAAGTGAGGCAATCATGTGAGCTGGGTGGCTCGGTCCTGAACCATCTCTCTCTTTTTCCAAGTTGTCATCACCGTGGTCTTCCTCACCCTGCTCTCAGTCGTGATCTTAATCTTCTTCTACCTGTACAAGAACAAAGGCACCTACGTCACCTATGAGCCCGCAGAAGGCGAGCCCAGCGCCACAGTCCAGATGGAGAGTGAATCGGCCAAAGGCACAGAGAAGGAAGAGTATTTCATCTAAATGACTCCTGGGCCCTGGGCAGGATGATCCTGCCTCCGGCTGTTTTCTCTGGAGCCAGGGGAAAGCACTGATGGACGTGGGCAAAATCAGGCTCCTTCCGGGACACGGGCCCAAGTGCCGACTTCGATGAATCCAGGGACGTGGAGGAAGCTGCCTGTGCTGTGTTTACTCTAGCACCTGTGTCACCCGAGTGGTCCAAATGGGGGCCGTTGGAGCAGCTGCACGGTCTTTGCTTTTCTCACAGGTTGAAGAGAGGGCCAAGTCAGGGCCACTGGCTGCTCCCTGCAGTGCCCTCATCTTCCTGAAGGCCGGCTCCCACGGTGCGGCCTGGCCAGGGGCGCACGAAACTATGGAGAGCTCAGTGAGCTTCGTCCTGACTAGCGCCCTCCCATCCCTTCGTCTGCGCTCTTCCTTCCCTCATTCCTGACAGCCTCAAACTGAAGGCCATTTGTATCTTAATTAAACTTTTCAATAACTCAGACTCTCACTTTAAGTGACAACCTTTGCATTTTTACTCATCCTTGCTTAAATGTTTTTGACATTTTTTTTAAAGATTTATTTATTTTATTGGAAAGGCAGATGTACAGAGAGGAGGAGAGACAGAAAGGAAGATCTTCCATCCAATGATTCACTCCCTAAGTGGCCACAATGGCCGGTGCTGCGCCAATCTGAAGCCAGGAGCCAGGAACTTCCTCCAGGTCTCCCACACGGGTGCAGGAACCCAAGGCTTTGGACCGTCCTCAACTGCTTTCCCAGGCCACAAGCGGGGAGCTGGATGGGAAGTGGAGCTCCCGGGATTAAAACCGGGGCCCTTGACATGTTCTTTTGCAACAAGCAGTTCCTAAAACCATCTCGGGAGTTTGAGGTAACAGTCATTCCAGAAAGCTTAACCCCAAGGAGCAGCATCAGAAAGCCTGGTGGATGAGCGGGCCTAACCCCGTCCCTCCAGCCTCCCAGCAGAACTAGGCACCGCTCAACCTGCCACCTGTTCCCTCCAGGCCGCAAAATTGGCCAAGTCTAAAAAACTCACTGTGCCAGATCACCGGCTCCCATCTCCCCAAAACACTGTGGCCTTCGGAGCTGAGGTGTACACGTTGTGCCTCCACTGTCCAAGTCCAACTCAAGCCCGCCAGGGGTGAGCCCGAGACGGGTGTGGTGGCCCAGGATACTGACAGCTTTTCCCGTGTCTCCACACAGCACTTTGGAGAAACACAAACTGCTATGCTAAAATGTTCTCCTGAAAGCGTATCTCAAAGCAAGTTCAAAGAATCAACCCTCTTATTTCTAAATTTAGGTTCTGGACTCCAGGTTCTTAAAAAGATTTTAAGAAGTGTTAGAATATGGGTTGATATGACGTGGCAGTTCCTCATCCCTGGGCACTGGGACATGTGGAAAGTTGTGTGTGTTTTCTCCCTTTGTCTCTCCCCCTTCCCCAGAAACAAGAAGAAATAGCAAATTTGGAAGCAATTAGTTCACCCAATTTTCCCTAAAACTCAATCCTTACCACCATGATTCACCATGTAATCATTATGAAAAATAAGAAGTGTGTAGTGTGTGTGTGTATATATATATATATATAGAGAGAGAGAGAGAGAAGGTTAGAGTAGAACTCATGGAAAAATGGACAAATGTTCACCTTCTCCTCCATGTGTTTCAAAGGCTTCATTAAACAGAACAGACCAAACCACAGGAGTCAGCAAATGATAGGTGGGATATCAAAAATAAATGGAGAAAACTAAAGACAAGCTAAGTAAAGAATCCTTGGAGTGAGGTGTAATGCAACTTCATCACTTTATTCAAATCTTCAAAATAGTCTTTATTCTACATTTTTAGTATAAAAAATCCACAAGTTAAGTGCACCACAGTGTAGAGAGAGACATACAACGCTGAACTTCCATAACAGTCGATGGTACAGTCAAACATCACATGTACAGAACAAAAATTTAGATGAACTGAAATTATAAAATAAAATCCAATTTCAGAAAACAAAAATCAGAATATTAAGGATCCCTGAAATAGTCTTAACCCTAATGAGATTTCACTGGACTCAAGTCATTTTACAGTGAGGCATTCACAATGTGACCCATTAACCTGGTTTGGGAATTCTGGGGAGCCAGGAGTGGCTGCATCAGACACTCCCACAATAGTGGTAACCAATTCTGCATCTGAAATCTCCCTTGAATTTGGCTCTAAGGATGTCAATTGGGCTTTTGAATGGCATCCTCCTTGCCACTCCCGTCTTAAACGAACTCACTTCTGGTTTCCCCGGCACCAGAGCAAATCTGGGCTGGGGCTGTGTACGCAGAGAAGCTCTGAGGAGGCCAGAAGACATCCCTGACTCTGCCTGGGGAGACACGGGAGTCCTGGGGTCTGCACCTGAAGCTCCAACAGGGCTCAGAGGGTCCTTGCCAAAGACTGGTGAAAGGGTGACGAGCAGGGGATGTGCAAGCAGAGAAGGAAGCCAATCCAACTGCTTTCTGTCCTGCACCACTGGGTCAATGGAGACTGGCGCGAGGAAGACTAGCCCTCCAGTGAGATGTGGGGCAAGGGACAGAAAGGGGAAGGCAGACAACTAATGCGATTTGTTTATAACAAGTAATAGAAATTAAAGACTTAAAGGAGATTAAAGACCAATCAGAATAATTTGGCAACTTTAATTCTCAGGAAGATCAAAGTTCCCTCCAAACCTAATTTGATGTTTTATTACTAAAAGCAAAGACCAGTATGGTACAGTATTACTCCAGAGGAATAAAGGGAAGGTCCTCAGGGCTGCTGCACCCGCATTCATTTTATGAATGGATACCCACCCCCCGACCTCAAAATGCTTTAGGGAGGTACTGCTACCATTGCATGGTTCCTTATTAAATTGGAAAAGTGCCTGAACATTTGGGCACCAGAAAGACACCCCAACAACATGTGTCTAAACTGCAACTTCAGGTTAATATGACTAAAGCAGTTACATTGTGAGAAGTGCTGAAGGTATGTGATGTCTTTCCCGGCACAGGGGAGGCCTTGGTTCCTCACCAGATGGTATAGCCACCGTCCGAGCCACCCATGAAGAAGTTTCCCTTCCGCTGAGTTACCAGGACGTTGGCCCCCTGCATGACTGCAAGCTGAGCGGCATTAGGAGGACATCCAGGAGGAGGCGGCTAAAAGAAACGACAGGGTGACTGGGCTCAGGGCAGCGGCACAGGGACAATGACCCGGGGGGAAGCAGAGTGCCTACCAGGCAGCACTGGAAGGAGCTGCTTCTGCCAGCGATCCGACTTCTAAAGCAGGCCTGTGCTCTCCGTGAGCCCAGCAAAACCTGCCACCCATCCCCAGGGCTGCGGCTCCACCGGGACTGCAGGGTGTCATCTGAACAGACCCACTCGTGTTCAGGGAAGGAAATCTACCATGAACACTCCTGGACAGACCAGTCAGAGGTGCCTGGGTGGTTAGCCAACAAATCAAGGATAACCTGAGGGTTTGGTGGTGACACCCTTCCTGCCTCACCTCTGGGAGCTGGTAACTGAGCAATCACTTGGCCTGTCAATTCCACACACCGGACCAAAGCAGGGGGCAGTGGCAACTAAAATCCTCCATCTGACTGAAGCCTACATCCCAGGAATTCCACACACCGGACCAAAGTAGGAGGCAGCGGCAACTAAAATCCTCCATCTGACTGAATCCTACATCCCAGGAATTAGCCATTCCTTTTTCATCAGACTTCCTGGTACCACACCTGGAGAGCACCGTCCTAGTTCACTATTCCAAAATGAACTGGGACCTGTGGGAATCAGAACTCATGTGACAGGGAACCCAGGGAGCAGGCACTCACTTGCCAAGGCCGCGCCCCCCTCACCCCTCTTTCTGCCTGACTACAGGATGTCAATGGTCCACCAACACGGGCAGCTGTCATCGAGACCAGAAAGCCAGCTCCCAGGGCTCCTGCTCCCAGGGCTGGGCCTCCCCTGATGGGCTCATACTCACAGGGATGCTGCCAGCAGTAGCCCCGGCTCCAAATCTGGCACCTGCATCGTAGCCTCCTTCCACCAGCACTGCTGAACCCGGCGGGTAGATGGGACCGACTGGATAGTAAGCCATGGGGATAGTGGAACCCAAAGGCCCAACGGCCACGGACTGGGCCATAGGAAGATACAGAGAGGCCCCAGGAAATGCAGCCGACATGGTGGGCACCGTGGCAGCTCCTGGGTGCACAAAGCTCGGACGATAGAGCTACAAAAGGCAGAAGAGAAAGCAAAAGGTTACTTCATGGCATGCCTGCTGCAGTCCTCCTTCCCAAGCCGCTTGTTAATTCTCTGGGTGGAGAAGATGCTTTTCATGCGTCACACGGGCTGCCTTTCCACTGCATTCAACATTTACTGCCGGGCTCAAGGAGGGCCAACCCATCATCACCTCCCAACAACAGAAAATCATCACACAGGACATGTTCTCCGCGGCACAAGCTGCTGTTGAGCTCTGCAGGGCTTCACCTCATTCGTGTGAGGTCTCTGGGTGTTTGGGAAAGGTCAACAGGCCCAGGCAGAGCTAGCTAAGGACTGAGACTGCCCCCACGTGCTCCCAGCTCGTTCCCGTTCACGCGGGGTCAGCTGGGCGCACCTCTGAGTAGGCGGGCGGAGCATCCGTGTAGGGTGGGGCCTGGGGGAGGTGCAAGGTCTGAGGGTACACGGGGTTCCCGGGAGGCTGCACCGGGTAGGTCTGCTGCGTCGGATATTGGCCTGCAAGACAAAACAAAACACAGGCACGTTGCCGACCACGGAGAGCCAGTGACAGAGGAGGCAGGAGGGGCTGGGGAGCGAGGGGATCTGGGGATGGATGAGCAGCCCCCCGGAGGGCGTGGTTGCTGGAGCTAACGGGCGCTACCTGAGTACCCCTCTGCTACCAAGTGCTGAGATGCCACTGCACAGGAAGGGCGCCGCTGTTCCCGCCAGTGCAGTGACGTGAGGGCAAGGAGCGAGCCGCACCCAGGCTCCCTCCGGGATGCACGGCACGTCTGAGTCCCGCTCCTGACCCGCTGACGCATCAGGCTAGGCTGCTTCTGTTCTGGGGGCCCGCGGCTCTTGTCTGAGTTAGCACAGGGGGTTCTGACTCTCTGCCTCGCAGGTTGCTAGGGCAAGGTCAACTTCCTCAACGAAGCGAGCTCGTGAGTGGTGGACGCGACCCGAGAGGCCTCGGCCGGGGCTGAGGGGCACGGAGGGCCTCCCGGAGGGCGGGTGGGGGTCCGGGCGGGGGTCCCGCTCGGTCATGGGCAGGGGGCACCTGCCGGCCGCCGGCGCCGCACTGGTTAAGCCGGCGGCCCGGCCTGTTGTTCCGAGCGCGGCGCCCCGCCTCCGCACGGCCGCCATTGGCCTCCCCGGATTCCTGCCCGAGCGCCTCATTCGCTCCCGCACACGCCCGTCAGGACGAGCCCCCCCACTCCGCCCCGCCAGCCCCGGACCCGGAGCCGCAGCCCCGAACTGCGCCACACGGAGAGCCGGGGGGCAGGCCGTCCCGGAGACGGCGACCGCGGCCCGGCAGCTCCGCGGCCCCGAGCCCGGGCTCCCCGCGGCCCGGCAGCGCCGCCCGCCCCGGCCCCCGCCGCCCCGAGCGCTCGCCTTTGCTGTTCATGGTGGCTGCAGGTCCGCTTCGGCTCGGCGTCGCGGACGGTTATTTTTTTTCGTCCTCTTCCTGTTCGGAGTCACTTCCGTGTCACGTGACGGCCCGTCCGGCTCGCGTCAGCCGCCGCCCGAGCGCCGCCGCCGCCGGAAACCCCGCCCCTTGGCGCGGCCCTGCCGGCCGGGGCCCCGCCCACTCGCCCTCCCTTCCGGGTCTCGATGCTACCCCGGGAGGAAAGCCCGGCGCACGGGCTGGTTCCCTGAGGAAAGGGGCGCTTCCCCGGCGGCGCGTCCGCGGACGGAGGATGGAGCGCGAAAGCTTCCCCCGCCACACACACACGTCACTCCAGGTCAACACACACACACACACACACACACACGTCACTCCAGGTCAACACACACACACACACATCACTCCAGGTCACCTCACACAAACATCACTCCAGATCACTTCATACACCCACACACATCACTCCCGGTCACCTCACATACACACGTCACTTGAGGTCGACTCCCACACGTGTCATTCCAGGTCACCTCACACACGTGTCATTCCAGGTCACCTCACACACGTGTCACTCCAGATCACCACACACACACACACACACACACACCACTCCAGGTCACCTCACACACACACACACACACACACATCACTCCACGTCACCTCACACACACACATCACTCCAGGTCACGTTTCCCAGCTGCCAAGCCCAGCTTCCGCCCCAGTGCTGTGCGGGCCCTTCTCGCTGTCATGGCCCCCTAGAGCCTCAGCTGGTCCTCGGCAGTGTCAGGCTGCTCTGTCATCACAGTGTCACAGAAGTTAGTACTAGAGCACCCTGCCCTTTGGGGGTTGTCACTGTACCTCAAGAGCATCCTTAAGGATAAAAATATCATCCTTTGGGGCAGCCATTGAGTAACCCACCCTCTTAAACATCTGATAAATTTCTTCATGTTAAAGTGACATTAATACAAATAGAAGACATTCACAGTTCATTGATGTGATTCTAAAAATATAATAATATCTGCTTTCTCACTTTCTCCTTTTCTGTTTAATTTTTTTTTTCTTCCTTCTTTCCTTCATCTTGCAGATAGCATTTTTGGTTTCCAATCAAGCGCTTGCTTCATTCCAAAACACCTTCTGAATGCACTCTATGGGCAAAGTACAGGAATAGAACAGAACCGAACAGACCTCTGCTGTTTTCTCACCAAGTTCACATTCTTTACTTGCAGTAACAGTAATTGGGAAAGCTTCCAAAAAGAGGAAGAAGAAGAGCTTTGGGGAGAAAAAAAGCCCCGTAAAACATTAGGAGCCTGATCAGTATTTGCTGATGATTCATCGAACCACGGGACAGTGCTCACTTCGCCCGCAAAGGGAGTTGAGTAAGGAGGTCTGTCCAGGTCACTGTTAGAAGGTGTGGCTCCCAGGTTTCCAAGTCGGTGTTTCTGTTTAGTTTTTCTAACACTGCCTGTCATGAGTGAGACACAAAGTCTGATAGTCTGAGAGTACTCCATCTGCAATTCTTTCTGTATTTGTCCCACTCTGAATGTATTGCTTTCATTTGGACTGAGATAGACTATAATATTTGCCTTGTCTTGCTTCCCACTCTAATCACTTTTTTAAAGTAAACATTTTTTAATTTGGAAATCAGATTTACAAAGAGAAGAAGAGACAGAGAAAATCTTCCATTTACTGGCTCACTCCCCAAGTGGCCACAATGGCTAAAGTTGAACTGATCTAAAGCCAGGAGCCAGATACTTCTTCCATGTCTCCCATGCAGGTGCAGGGTCCCAAGGCTTTGGGGCATCCTCGACTGCTTTCCCAGGCCACAAGCAGGGAGCTGGAAAGAAAGTAGAGCAGTTAGGATACAAACCAGCGCCCAAATGGGATGTAGACACTTGTACTAGGCTACTGTACCGGGCCCACTCTGATCAGGTTTTTACAAAGATTTATATTAAAGAATTACAAGGATTAAGGGGGAAACAGAAACAGGTCTCCCATCACTGTTACATTTCCCAAATGGGCACAACAGCCAGGGCGTGGCCAGGCAGAAACCAGGAGCTTCTTCCAGGTATCCCTAGAAGGGACCCAGGTACTCGGGCCATCTTCTGCTGCTTTTCCAGACCATAATCTAGCAGCTGGATTGGAAATGAAGCAGCCAGACATGAGTCAGCACTCATTTGGTGGCTTTACCCACTGTGCCGAAACACTGGCCACCATTCTAATCTCCTGAAGGGCAGGCAGGGTTAGACGTTCACCAACTGCTTATATAGGACATGTCTGTATTACAGATTGTCTAAAACATAGCCTTCACTTTCCTGAAGTTTACGTTCCAATTCAGGGGCTTGAAAACTCTTAGTTGATTGATTGATACTTCTTTTAAAATAACATTTATTATTTATTATTAAAATAATATTTATTTCCACAAAAAAAGAGGTGGAAGATGGGAATGGCTGCCATTTCCTGGTTCACTTTTCAAATGCCTACAACAGCCGGGGCTGGGCCAGAGCAAAGCCAGGGAGCCAGGAATTCAATCCAGGTGTCCTACATGGGTGATAGGGACCCAGCTACTTGAGCCTTTATTAATGCCTTCCAGGGTCTGCGTTAGCAGGAAGCTGGAATCTGTACTTGAACCCAAACAAAATGGCTGTGTGGTGATCCTTCTGTGCAGACTGCATCGTGGAATTTCCTGCTTGCTCACCCTTTTAGATTCTGGTGGTCCACGGTTTCCAAATCTGGTTGTGAACCCCACTAACCAGTGGGGCCCATGTGATCTGAAACCTACTGTTTCTAGTGGACGGTCATCCCCTGTGCTCTTATTCATTTGTTTTATAAGGCAAATATACAGAAGAAACACAAAGATCTGTCCACTGCTTCATTCCCCAAGTGGCCACAACAGCCGGAGCTGAGCTAATCTGAAGCCAGGCACCAGGAGCTCCCTCCAGGTTTCCCAAACAGGTGCAGGGTCCCCAGGTCTTGGGCTGTCCTCGGCTGCTTTCCCAGGCCAGGTATTAGGAGAAACGTGCTCTGTGTAAAATTTAGCACTTACTAGCCACTGTGGGCCACTTGTAATGCTGTCATCTCACACCCAAGCGCTGGTTCAAGTCCCAGTTACACTGTTTCCAACCTGACTGTTCTGTTAGTGCGCCAGGGGCTGGCATCGGGACATGGCCCAAGTACATGGGCACCTACTTCTTATGTGGGAGATCAGGATGGATCTTGCATCTGCCAGGATCCCATATAGGTGCCAGTTCATTTTCCAGCTGCTCAACTTCCTTTTCAGCTCCCTGCGTGTGCCCTGGCAAGGCAGTAGAGGATGGCCAAAAGCCTTGGCTCCCTGCACCTGCGTGGGAGACATGGAAGAAGTTCCAGGCTTCGGATCAGCTCAATTCCAGCTGTTGCAGCCACTTGGGATATTAAACTAACAGATGAAGACCTTCCTCTCTGTATCTCGTTTTCTCTGTATATAGGCATTTCCAATAAAAATAAAATAAAACAAATCTTTTTTTAAAAATTAGATGAACTTTTGGACCCAGCGCCGTGGCCCAGCAGCTAAAGTCCTCACATTGAATGTGCGGGGATCACATATGGGCGCTGGTTCTAATCCCAGCAGCTCCACTTCCCTTCCAGCTCCCTGCTTCTGGCCTAGGAAAGCAGTCGAGGATGGTCCAAGACCTTGGGACCCTGCACCCACGTGGGAGACCCAGAAGAGCTTCTGGCTCCTGGCTTTGGATCAGCACAGCACCGGCCATTGCGGTCCCTTGGGGAGTGAATCATCAGATGGAAGAACTTCCTCTCTGTCTCTCCTCCTGTCTGTATATCTGCCTTTGCAATAAAAATAAAATCTTTTTAAAAAATTATGTGAACTTTAAAAAGAAAAAAGAAGGCAGTGTTACGGCACAGTAGACTGAGCCTCTTCCTGTGGTGCCAGCATCCCATATGGATACCTGTTCTTGTCACAGTGTCTGCTCCACTACTGATCCAGCTCCCTGCTTATGGCCTGGGAAAGCAGCAGAGGTGGCTTAAAATGTTGGGCTCCTGCATTCGCCCAAGTGGGAGACCTAGATGAAACTCTTTACTCCTGGCTTTGAATCAACTCAGCTTAGACTGGGTCATGGCCATTTGGGGAGTGAGCCAGTGAATGGTCCCAAGTAAATTGAGTCATCCTCTGCTGCTTTCCCAGGCCACAAGTGGGAGCTGGATGAGAAGTGGAGCAAGCAGGACATGAACTGGTACCTATATGGAATGCTGGCCCATGCAAGGTGAGGATTGAGCCACTGAGCCACCCTGCCGGTCCCCTGAGGCTGTTCTGCATGAGCTCAGTGCCTCTGACTCCCTCCCGATTTGTGGAGTTTGCTGTCTGTAGTTTGGGAGGTCCCTGGGCTGTGAGCCCGCTCTCCACAGCTGGCTGTAAAGGACTTTCAGGTCAGCGAGTGCTGCCCCTGTGTACTGGCTCGCTTGGGTAGAGCAGCGCTGTCAGGAGGAGGTGGAGCCCCGTGGGAGGCGCATACTAGGAAGCTGTTCTGTGACCTGAGTGTTCTAGATGAAAGGTTGTTACAAAAGCCCGAGTGTGAGCCAACCTCTCTGGGCTTCCTGGCAGGCCACATGACCTTTCCTCTGTCTCTCATTGTGATGCTTTGTGTCATCCTGGTGACTTCGCTAGTGAGTCAGCCGTCATCTGCGGAATGGGCGGGGCCCGATCTTATACTGTGAACCTCTGGAACCGAGAGCTGACATAATCCTCCGCCCTTTTATAAGATTAGGCTGCTTGGAGTGAGAAATATGTAATCTAAGAAAGCTTTCCTTACGTCTCTTTCTGGGATCTCAGAGACCTAGAAATTGTGCTGATGGGATAGTCTGTCTCAAGGAGAGCTTAGGACAAGGACTTGACATCAATAAACTTCTTCTGGTCCTAGTTCTGTGACTCATTACCTGGCGCTCACGTCCACTGATTCCACTTCTACCTAATCCTGGCTAAGTGAGATGCAGACACAGCAGACCCTGAGCACGGTCCAGGCAGGGCATTGCTCTAGCTGTGTGACCTGCTCAGCTGCGGAACTGGCGTTCATGCCCAGCCAACTCCAACATCA